GTGCAGAGTGGTTGCGGGTGGTGGGTGGCTACAGCAGAGGGGGGATGGAGTCGAGGGCTTCCCTGAATGGGCCATAAAAGGCACTCGCAGACCTGCAGGGGGAGGTGGAAGAGAGAAGAAAATCAAGGAGATGCAGGGCGGTTGAGAATGGTGACAGTGGTTACAGCTGAGTGGGGGTTGCAGTCAAGGGCTTTCTTGAAAGGGCCATAGATGGCTGCAGAGCAGGGGGTTGGGAGTAAGCATTGTCCCAGAATGGGTAGCAACACTTGCAGGGGAGATGGAGAAGAGGGAGGGGGAAGAGGAGAAGAGGTGTGCAAAGGGATGCGGAGGGATGCAATGGATAGAGTCACTTGGCTGTGTATGACATGATAGAAACCTCGTTAAAGCCTTCCTCGTCCAATTATGAGTAGGACCCCCATATAGCACCTACTTGGCAGCGTGTCCCCCCCCCCATAGAAGCACTCACTTGGCAGTGTAGGACATGATGGAGACCTCGTTAAAGCCCTCCTCGTCCAGAGCAGCGCGGATGGCGCCCACACGGCCGTCCATCATGTCACTGGGGCTCACCACATCGGCTCCTGCACGCGCCTGGAACAGGGGGGAGAGGAGGGTGGGGTGGGGAGAATGAGCACGAGTGGTTGTGCCCACACGGCCGCCCATCATGTCACTGGGACTCACCACGTCCGCCCCTGCACGCGCCTGTAACAGGGGAGATGGGGATTGTGGGGGGGGAGGTTGGGGGGTTGGGCGTGGGGTAGCATGAGCACGAGTGGTTGTGCCCACACGGCCGTCCATCATGTCACTGGGGCTCACCACGCCTGTTGTAAGGGAGAGCTGGAGAGGGGGGGGGGGAGGAAAGGCGGGACAGGGTTGGGGGGTTGGGTGCGGGGTAACATGAGCAGCACGGATGGCGCCCTCACGGCCGTCCATCATGTCACTGCCACGGCCTGCAGGCACAGCTGGTGCAGTCTCGTCGTTCATGACCACACCATCCTCCCTACCAAACCAATCATCCTCGTTATTAGCTGATCCGATAAAGTCTCTCCCGAGCCCTGCAGGCACAGCTGGTGCACAGTCTCATCGTTCATGATCACACCATCCTCCCTCACAAACCATTCGTCCTCGTTATTAGAAGAATCAATGTAAGCATACCTGAGCCACGGCCTGCAGGCACAGCTGGTGAACCGTCTCGTCGTTCATGATCACACCATCCTCCCTCACGATGCCATCGTGACCGTCCGAGTTGTACGGGTCCAGTGCCACGTCAGTGTAGATGATCTGGATAGACGCCACGTCAGTAGCACAGCGATGAGATCACCAAAGCGGGGGGTGTACGAGAGGAAAGGGGAAAGGGCAAGGGTGGATAAGGAGAGGAGGGGGGTGGGAGAGAGTGAGAGTAAGTAAGGTGGTGGTGGGAGGGAGAGGGAGCGGGGGACGAGCACAACGCATCTAAAGGCTGAACTCCAGAAGCGTGATATGATATGGACTGTTAGCGAGGAATGAACACTTGTCTTGAGAAGAAACTTGTCCTGGAGCAGGCGAACCCTCCGTTTCGAAACCACATTTCAGAGCACAGGCCGCCGTTGGTAGTAAGAGTGACCTCAGGAGGAGACTCACGACGTCGGGGAACTTGTCAGTGAGCAAAGGGGTGCTTCGTACGAATCGCATAGCTTCCTACCATCTTTCTGCAACGCAGGAGCACTCACGAGGTCCGGGAACTTGTCCTTGAGCAGGCGGATGCTGCGATGCCAGGGGCAACAACACATATCTCTCACATAGCCGTGTCGTGGCTCTACGCATCGCATTTCAGGAGCACGTACCAGGTCGGGGAACTTGTCCTTGAGCAGGCGGATGCTGCGCATAACAATGCCGTCTGGGTTGTACGCCTCGTCGGCAGTGGGGGTCTGTGGGGAAAGCGTGTCAAACAGGCAAAGTATGAAGCAAAGCACTGAAATTGAGAGGGGAACTTGTCCTTGAGCAGGCGGATGCTGCGGGGAACAATGCCGTCTGGGTTGTACGCCTCGTCCGCCGTGGGGGTCTGTGGGTACGAATGCAAAGCACGTTAGCAGAAGCAGATTGGAACATTAGTCAATGAATGCCGCTTACTCCATGAATGCCGTACGGCTTGCAGGCCTCCTCCGCCGTGTGGATCTCTGTGAGCCGCTTCCAGGTCAGCTCAAGAGCAAAGAAACTTAACTTATTAACCGGCACAACGGTCTAAAGAAGGGGAAACCACCCTTGCAAACATCGACCACGCAGATGCGTGAGAGGCTCACCTTGAGATCATCGGGGACTTTGGGGAAGAGCACGACTTGGTTGACTCCCACGTCACGCGCTGACCTTTCAGTCGGCTCAAAAGTCAACACGCAGTGCGAGGGGGAATGACACATGAGGGTCTCACCTTGAGAGCGTCGGGGACTTTCGGAAAGAGCACGATTTGGTTGACTCCCACCCACATCGCGCGCCTTGTACACCTCCGGGCGATGAGAGGGCGGTTCGAAGGGCGAGGGGGAATGACACATTAGGGGCTCACCTTGAGAGCGTCGGGGACTTTCGGGAAGAGCACGACTTGGTTGACTCCCACGTCACGCGCCTTGTACACCTCCTCGATAAGCCCGGTGTTCCAGCCGAGGCGGTAGCACCCCGGCATGGAGCCAATGGGAGAGGCGTCCACGCCTGGCGAGGTAAGGGGGAAAGGGGGGAATGGGGTAGGTTTGGGGTTGGGGATGGTTGTGGGGGAGGAGATGAGCCCGATCCTCCGGCCGAGGCGGTAGCATCCCGGCATGGAGCCAATGGGAGAGGGGTCCACGGCGAGGTGAGGGGGATAGGGGGAGAAGATTTATGACAAGTTGATAAAAGTCGAGTGAGAAGCTTATGAGAGCCTGACAAGAATCGGACGAAAATTCGATGAAGGTGTAATAAACAAATCATAAGAGGTTTACAAGAATTCGGTGGGAATCTTGTTGGTTCTTTATGGGAACATGCCAATGTTGCAATCACCAGCCATCACCTTCGTGGATGAAGAGGGGAAGGATGAAGTTGGCGGGAGTGACGAAGGTCGTGATACGAAAACAAAAAACATAACTCAACCAACCCCACCACTATTCAGCACGCGCAAATCACCTCTCAGTCAACCCTCACCTTCGTGGATGAAGAGGGGAAGGATGAAGTTGGCGGGAGTGACGAAGGACTCCTGGAAAGCCTCCCTCAGGAACGGAGACCGGCGGTTGCGACGAGGCCTCGAGATGAGGTTCTGCCAACACCACCCACGCATAGCACAAGTCTAGTATTAGGACGCATGACTACCTGACACCGACGGTTTTGCGACCAGGCCTCGAAATTAGGTTATGTCAACACCACCCATGCACAAAACAAGTCTAGTAGTAGGACGCATGACTAGCTAACACCAACGGTTGCGACGAGGACTTGACATGACCTTCAGCGGCCATGCACAGCACAAGCACACCACCTGAGAGCTTCTATCTCGTACCTCATCTAGGTGACATCAAGAGCGTACGCTTAAGAACAAACGAATCGGTTTTTACGCCTATGCTCCACCAATGTGGAACCCGCTTTATTCATTCCCCTCCAACCTGGCACTTAGCGCTATGTGGAGACCATAGCGCTGCCAACCAGCCTTCGCTAACAACGTATAATCGTCTGCATGGGATAAAACAGCGTCAAAACGACGTCGACGACTACGAAAGCCAATTGCAAGAACGCTAGATTCTCTGCTCAGGAAACGGACCAGCGGCTCGACGATGGGCGTTCCCTTTGGAGCTGCTGGGCGGGGCTTGGCGGCCGGAGCAGGGGGGGGATTCCCCGCGACCACGCGCGCTTCCGCCTCCTCGATCGTCAGCTTCTTAGCGGCTGGCTCCGCAACCGCGCGGACGGCGAAGGCTTTCGCCTTCACATTCTGCTGGGAGGAGGCTTTGGAGGAAGCCTGGGAGATCTGGTTCTTCCTCAGGCCGGTGAATGAAGGCACGGCGCACTTGGCAATGGCAGCCATGGCTGTCAATTTCTTAGCTTTCCTCAAGATACGAGCAGGCTAAGCTGCGGGTAAAAGGTATTCAGCAAAGCTTGCAGCGAAACTGGAAGGCAATCAGACAACTATGGCCTGACTAGACTTGCCAAGCAGGGAAGAATGGCAAACACAAAATGGCCGTAGAAAATGGGATTCTAGGAACTTGTAGTCAACCCAGGCCGGAATCCTACTTTTCCTGCTCTCAAGCTTCTAGTTTCCTAGCTTCCAGTCTTTCAGGCTTCCAGATCAGCCAGGCAACCAATCGTGGCAATTCCAAGGGATAAGGGGGTGCGGAATGGGCGCAGCGAAGTTCCGCTCTGCGCAACTTTCAAGATGCTATGCTCCGCGCGGCGGAGTCTCGCTGACGACTTCACCGCGCCAGAGCTGCTGGGCAGTGCGGGCGCTTTTCCCCGATTTGTTTGCGCCGAGCCGCGAGAAATCCACAGAGGTGACGCGTCAGCTCAAATCACGAGAGCCAATTCGTTTCGAAGATTTGGCGTGGCGATTGTTGAGGAACCACGTCAGCCTCTTCCGGTTGCGTGGAACCCCAGCCATGATATCGCTCGTTACTGACACAAATATCATGGAAACGATGTAATAACGATCCCTATACGGCTACATACGGTAAGCTTAACTTGGAAACTAACAATGGAAACTCCATCCACATATAGCGAGAAAGATGCCTACAGATTTCTCAGAGCAAACACCGTCGAGTGGTGTGGTAATTGTTGAAACAAAATCATAATGCTTGAATTACGTTGAAACTGCAGTGCAACATAAACTCGGGTAGTTAAAATGTTCACACCACGACACACGAGGCAGAAATATGAAGTAACACTGTATTGTACCCTTAAGTCATCCCTTTTGAAAAGCACAGCATGCCACAAGAGCAACATGGTGTGATGGATGGAATGGATCCCGATTCCTGAACATATCATCCCAAACCTAGCACCCCGAGCCTCTCATCCCGAACCTATCATCCCGAGCCTTGGTCCGCAGTGGAGGCGGCCGCCATGGCAGCGGCGATCCGAAGCACATCGAGAGCTTCGGAAACCTTGGCTCGGAGGGCGTCTGGGGACTGCAGCAGCATGAGCAGCTCCCCCTTGTCCATCTCCAGCAGCATTCCCGTGATCTTGCCCGCATGCTCCGGCTCCTGACGGGCCACAAGTGGGTACAGCTGCTCCCCCAGAATCTGATTAGGGGGAAGAGCCGATTAGGGTTCCAGGTTTAGGGTGAGCAGGGACAGCAGGGAGGGTAGGGTGGGCAGGGCAGGTAGGGAAGGAGGGGCGGGAGGCAACAGGCAGGGATGTGAGGGAGGGGTAGCAGCATGAGCAGCTCGCCCTTGTCCATCTCCAGCAGCATTCCCGTAATCTTGCCCGCATGCTCCGGCTCCTGACGTGCTACTAGTGGGTACAGCTGCTCCCCCAGGATCTGAAGAATGGGGGTGAGGCGATTAGGGGGAGCAACAGGAGAGGAAAGGAGAAGAGGGAGCGGAGTGATCTTGCCCGCATGCTCCGGCTCCTGACAGGCCACAAGTGGGTACAGCTGCTCCCCCAGGATCTGAAGAATGGGGGGGAGGCGATTAGGGAGAGCAACAGGAGAGGAAAGGAGAAGAGGGAGCGGAGTGATCTTGCCCGCATGCTCCGGCTCCTGACAGGCCACAAGTGGGTACAGCTGCTCCCCCAGGATCTGAAGAATGGGGGGGAGGCGATTAGGGGGAGCAACAGGAGAGGAAAGGAGAAGAGGGAGCGGAGTGATCTTGCCCGCATGCTCCGGCTCCTGACAGGCCACAAGTGGGTACAGCTACTCCCCCAGGATCTGAAGAATGGGGGGGAGGCGATTAGGGGGAGCAACAGGAGAGGAAAGGAGAAGAGGGAGCGGAGTGATCTTGCCCGCATGCTCCAGCTCCTGGCGCGCCACAAGTGGGTACAGCTGCTCCCCCAGGATCTGATAGAGATGGGAAGAGGGAAGTAGGGGGTAAGGGGAAGGGGAAGGGAGCAGCATTCCCGTGATCTTGCCCGCATGCTCCGGCTCCTGACGGGCCACTAAAGGGTACAGCTGCTCGCCCGGGATCTGATGGGAGAGAGGAGAGGAGGTGATTAGGGTGTAGAACTTAGGCGGAGGGGAAGAGGAGAAGACGAGGAGAGGAGAGGAGCAGGAGAGGAGCAGGAGAGGAGAGGAAAAGGCGCACAAACTAACAACAACCCCACCATTTTTTAGGCGCCTCATTGCGATTTTTGAGGCGCCTCAACAGAAGAAAGAAGACCATCCATGCAACCACACTAACAACCCCACCATACTTGTTTTCAAATCCCTGATTCCCCTCTCTCTTTCTCACACTCACACCCACTCACCGCTCGCTGCTGCTCTTGCTGAGCCGATGCCACTGCTGTTGCCAGCAGTTAGGGATGAGCAATATGACGAACTCCTGTTCGGTTCGCCTCGAACACGTTCGAGGCGAACCGAACAGGATTTTTTTTTGGCCAAAATTGTTCGGGGCGAACGTGTTCGGTGTTCGCCCGAACACGTTCGCCGTTCGCCCGGCTCAGCTCGCCGAGGCGCGTCGAACACGAACGTGTTCGTGTTCGACACGGGCCTTCGACAAACACCAATGTGTTCGTCGACGAATAGGCCCGCGACCAATTTTTAGGTCGCGGGCCTTGGTGTTTGGGCTCAGATCTGGCCTTTCGCAGTTAGTAAAGTGCAGATCTAGCATTTCGCCATTGCTTAAGTGCAGATCAAGCATTTCGCCGTTGCTTAAGTGCGGATCGAGCATTTCGCCGTTGTTTAAGTGCGGATCGAGCATTTCGCCGTTGCTTAAGTGCAGATCGAGCATTTCATTGTTGCTTAAGTGCGGATCTAGCATTTCGCCGTTGCTTAAGTGCGGATCGAGCATTTCGCCGTTGCTTAAGTGCAGATCTAGCATTTCACCGTTGCTTAAGTGCGGATCTAGCATTTCGCCGCTGCTTAAGTGCGGATCTAGCATTTCGCCATTGCACGCTGGCACTAGATGGATGAAGCACGGCGGGACTGGCTTGGGAGGTGGGGGGAGAGAATGTGCGACGATTTGAATTTTACTCTATATTGAATTTCCCCCTGGGCGAACACGAACATGTTCGCCACGAACATGTTCGCCACAAACATGTTCGTGTTCGCCTGTTGCAGCAATTCGTTCGCCTCCTAGGGCGAACAGCGAACACCTATTTTCACTCAAGTCGTTCGCCGAACCGAACACTGTTCGGTTCGACAGAAGGCCATGTTCGTCAGGGGGCGAACACGAACATGTTCGAGTTCGCCCCCTGCTCATGCCTACCACCAGTTGGATCGAGTGAAAGATCACACACCCCTACTTTCCCGCGATTACTCTCACACCTACTCTCACACCTATGTTGGAAAAGTCGCGCCCAGCGCATCATACGCAAGCGTATATACGCTTGCGTATAGTGCGTTATGCGCTTCGTGAGTGACTTTGAAAGTCGCAGAAAGTACGCTGCCTGGGCAGCAAAAGGTTTTTACCGGGCAGACGAAAAAAACCGCCGGAGGGGGGGGGGAGTGGTGGCTTTACAGAATTTCATATATTGAAAAAACCCACCATTCTCAACTACTCTAAGCAAGCAACATGCATCTCTCCTACCCCACCCCCTACTCCCACCCTCTACTCCCCCCGTCCCTTCCTTCCTCCTCTACTTGTACTCATCCTCCAGCTCATCCTCCTCCCCCTCCTCCTCATCCTCCTCCAGAACCTCGTTGTACCCTTCCGGCAGGGAGGCCTCAAGGATGTTCCCCGGGAGAACCGTCACCCACTCAGCCCCCTTGTGCCAGTTGCGCACAATGTTCCAATTGTGCGCAACGTACACGAGGTCCCGACACTTCTCGGACCCCAACCTGTTGCGCTTGGCAGTGTGGATCGATTCCCACACTGCCCAGTTCCTCTCACACACCGATGCGGACACTGGCTGAGAGAGAACGCAACAAGCGAGCGTTGTCAGCTCGGGGTGCTCCGTCCCGTGCCACGTCCACCACTGGACGGCCGTCTTCTTGCCGGCCTTCACGAGCTCACGGTCAGAGATGGCGTCGGGTAGGCCGAAGCTCCCCTGAAGGGTGTTGAATGCCGTCAGGCCGTCCTGGATGACGTGGGATGCACGCAGCTCCTCGCCATCCTTGCGCGTGACGGTCCGCCCTGTGTAGTGACGAGCGACAAACGCTTTGAAGACGCGACTACACTCCAGGTCGGTGCGGAAGATGCCTTCCTCTTGGTTGACTGGGTTGAGGATCCGGCCAACCACGTGCATGGCACACGCCATGCTATGTTCCCAGCACTTTTGGACGATGTTGGTCACCTCCGTGCGTTCACTGCTGGACAGCACCAATCCTGCCTCCTCCTCCTCCAGCTTCGCATTGATGTCTTCCGTGAGCTCCAGCATCAGATCGTACATCCTGCCCATCATGCCCTTGGCCGTCGAGTCGGTCTTGCGCATGACGACAAAGGGGATCTTCAGGAGGGCGACGAAGAACTCCGCACCTTTCCACCACACGGCATCCATGATCATGGTTGCGAAGGGCTCGACCGGCGGCTTCCTCCCCTTCGCCCAAGCCTGCCACTCCGGGCTCAGCACCATCTGCGTCAATGCACTCCGCACCTCGCAAAGCCGCTGCACCGCGATGAATTGCGTGCCGAATCTGGTGCCCGCCGGCTTCAACACCTGCTTCCCTTTCCCTCCCTTCACTTGCGGGCTTCGCATGTAACCTTTGATGAAATGGTGGGCACGCACATAGGTGATAATCACCCCCGCCTTAGCCACAATGTCTTTCGCCCAATCCATTTTCCCAATGTCCTCCATGAGCAGATCCATGACGTGAGTAGCGCACGGCACATGTTCAATGTGAGGATACTCAAGCATGAAATCCCTACATGCAGCCGCATAATTGCTGCCCCCATCCATGCATAACGCAACTATGTTGGCGGGCCCCACCTTCTCAATGATCGGGCGCAAAACGGATGCAATGTAGCCTCCCATCTTCGTCTCCAACTTACAGTCGATGCTTTCGGTGAACACTGCACCGGAATCGTTGATGAGCAGGATGTTGGCTTGGGGACGGCCACTTTTGTCCGTCATCATGTCCGAGCCTATCGTCACGCCATCCCGCTTGCAGCTCGCAGTGATGGGAGCGAGCCCCCTCTCGATCTTTTCGCGGCAGCGCGCAAGGCCGGCGCCACCAACATACCGCCGCTTCGGGGGAACGTAGCCATGGCCCGCGTCCCTGATGCAGCGCACAGCGTTGCGCCAGAGAGGGTGATCGGCGAGATGCTCCGGGAGGTGAAGTGCCGCCCACATGAGGCAGATGGCGTCGTCTGCCGATTCCTTCGCACACGACGCCCCTTCCCCGTAGAAGTCTTCGATGCACTGCTTCTTCGCTCCACCCGCACACGCCTCGATCGCCATCTCCTCCGCCTTCTTCTTCCCTTCCCTGCGGGCGTGTTTGCCTTCGTACAATTCGCGGACGGCGCCGCGGTCAGCAGAAGGGATAGGCGCCTTGCAAAGACGGACGTCCTTCCGTTTCAGCCGTTTCCAGTGCGTGATGTGTTGCGCGCAGTGCAACTAAGGCGCCCCCTACGAACTTAAGCTTGCAGTGCCGGCATATGCGGAGAGTACGCTCACGACCATTCGAGGTACCTTCGGTAGAGGTAAGGAAATGCTTACAAATAACATGGGTGTTCACAGGAACATCCTCGTCGTCCGCCATGGTCGCGTCATTCGAAACACTAGGAGCCTCACTAGTGGCACTTGCGGGAGTACCAGAAGGAGTCGACATCAAGTGCAGGTGAGCGGGACTGTTGAGAGAGAATGAACGAGAGAGATAATACAGATGACGGGAATGAGAGCTTACCTTATAGTCCAGGATGTGGTTGAACCACCTACGCTGGTTGACGACATTCGTGTTTGTGTGTTGGAGTCGCGCGATAGCATAGGGTGCAGTGCGGTTCAAATTTTCCCACGTCCCCACATTTTGACAGGTGTGGGTGACAATGTGGTTGGGATGTGCGTACAAATTGGGGTGGGACGTGCGTACATTTTGAGTCGCGTCGCACATTCGCAATTCGTGCGTGACTATTGAAATCTGGTTTTTTTTTTCGGGTCAGCCCGAACTTTCGCCAACGAATATACGTACGACTTGCGTACACCGTATATTCGTAAACGACTATACGGAGTGCGCTTATGGTTTCTGGCGACTTTTCCAACATAGTCTCACACCCCATTAGTATCAATTGATCTAGACAAACTCACAGCTCGCTGCTGCTCTGGCGGTGCCGATGCCACTGCTGCTGCCAGCACTTGAATCGGCACCGGCCCTCCCAACCCTCCAGGCACACCCCCTCCTCTCGCAATCTCAGGCCAAGGAATCGGACAGAGAAAATCCTACCCACACCACGTGCACACTCCCACTCCCTTCCCCCACACTCACCGCTCGCTGCTGCTCTGGCTGAGCCGATGCCACTGCTGCTGCCAGCACTTGAATCGGCACTGGCCCTCCCAACCCTCCAGGCACACCCCCTCCTCTCGCCTTCTCAGGTTAAGGAATCGGACAGGAAAGATCTTACCCACACCACGTGCACACTCACACTCCCTTCCCTACCACTCACCGCTCGCTGCTGCTCTGGCTGAGCCGATGCCACTGCTGCTGCCAGCACTTGAATCGGCACTGGCCCTCCCAACCCTCCAGGCACACCCCCTGCCCCGCGCCCTCCCTGCACCCGCTGCTGCCGCTGCTGCTGTAGGGGGAGGACAGAGGGGGCCGGGATTTGGTAAGGGGTTTATGAGTCGATTTGCACTCTGGCTGCTGTTCTCACTTCTAGTCTCCACTGCCCCCAACGCACCTACACTGGCGCCCCTTGTGCTGCTGCCCCGTACTGCTGCTGCTGCCGCATGAACACGTTGTGATTCAACAAACAAGACGCCACAATGCATGCCGCCATGGCAGCTAACCACTCTCACCTGCACAGGTGCCCCTTGAGCCGCCCCGTACTGCTGCTGCTGTCGCATGCACACATTGGGAATTGGTCCTCCCCACCATGCCTTGTGCCCCATTCCTGGCGCCCCCATCCCTCCTGCCCCACTCCTACACTCCTGATGCTCCCATTCCCAATCCCCCCACCCACCTGCACAGGCGCCCCTTGAGCCGCCCCGTACTGCTGCTGCTGTCGCATGTACACATTGGGATTCGGTCCCCCCACCATGCCTTGCGCTCCCCCCGGCACCATTCCCGGCGCCCCCATCCCTCCTGCCCTCATTCCGCCTGCCCCCATCCCTGATGCTCCCATTCCCAATCCCCCCACCCACCTGCACAGGCGCCCCTTGTGCTGCCCCATACTGCTGCTGCTGTCGCATGTACACATTGGGATTCGGTCCCCCCACCATGCCTTGCGCTCCCCCCGGCACCATTCCCGGCGCCCCCATCCCTCCTGCCCTCATTCCGCCTGCCCCCATCCCTGATGCTCCCATTCCCAATCCCCCCACCCACCTGCACAGGCGCCCCTTGTGCTGCCCCATACTGCTGCTGCTGTCGCATGTACACATTGGGATTCAGTCCCCCCACCATGCCTTGCGCTCCCCCCGGCACCATTCCCGGCGCCCCCATGCCTCCTGCCATACCCGGCGCCCCCCCCATGCCTGCTGGTAGAACCATACCCGGCCGCATGGGCTGCTGGGAGTAAGGGTGCGGCGGCTGGTAGGGAGGAGTGGGACGGGGTGGGGAGTGGTGGAGACGTGTGGAGGGTGTTGGGAATGGAGGGATGCACATCAGTCGATGTTTACACACATTCCCGTCCCATACCCCCTGCCATGCCTGGTGCTCCCCCCATGCCTGCTAGTAGAACCATGCCCGACTGCATGGGCTGCTGGGAGTAAGGGCATGGAGGCTGGTGGGGAGGAGTGGGAAGGGGTGGGGAGTGGTGGAGAGGGGTGGGAATGGAAGGGTACAGATCAGTTGACTTCCTGAATCCTGCTCCCCCCATGCCTGGCCGCATGGGCTGCTGAGAGTAGGGGTATGGGGGCTGGTGAGTGTGGGTGGAACGGGGTGGAAAGGGGTGGAAAGAGGTGGAGAGGGGTGGGAAGGGGTGGCAAGGGAGAGACAGGGTGAGGGAAGTGCTGTTCAGCTGACGCTCACACATACCCCCATCCCTCCTGCTCCCCACATGCCTACTGGTAGCACCATGCCTGACCGCATGGGCTGCTGAGAGTACGGGTATGGGGGCTGGCGGGACAGGGTGTGACGGGGTGGGAAGAGGTGGGAAGGAGTGGGAAGGAGTGGCAAGGGGTGGGAATGGAGGGGTTCAAATCAGCCGATGCTTACATGTAACCCCATCCCTCCTGCTCCCCCCACGCCTGCTAGATAGAAACACCATGCGTGGGTGGCCGCATGGGCTGCTGGGAATAGGGATGGGGCGCAGGGGGGGGTGAGGGGAGCAGGAGGGGTAAGGGGAGCAGAGAACATCCCTCCATTCCCACCCATGCCTGCTAGATACAAACACCATGCGTGGGTGGCCGCATGGGCTGCTGGGAATAGGGAGCTTCTGGGCACGTGAGAAAATCAACCTCTTTCCTACTCCATCTCAAAGCATTACTTTTATCACAGGGTCCAGTCGAGAGAGGTTGAGATGGAGTGGGAAAGAAAGTGCTGTTCGGCTGATACTCACTCAAACATACCCCCATCCCATCCATCCAGCAGGGAGGTCGTACCTGGACAGGCATCATTCCTGGCTGCGAGTAAAACCCTCCCTGCTGCGCCACCACCCCTTGGGGGGGCATAGTACCCCCCCGCAGCACCAGGCACACCAGCAGGTGGGTGGGAGGTGTTACCTCACTAGGAAGGTCGTACCTGGACAGGCATCATTCCTGGCTGCGAGTAAAACCCTCCCTGCTGCGCCACCACCCCTGGGGGGGCATAGTACCCCCCTGCAGCACCAGGCACACCAGCAGGTGGGTGGGAGGTGTTACCTCACTAGGAAGGTCGTACCTGGACAGGCATCATCCCCGGCTGTGTATAGAACCCTCCCTGCTGCGCCACCACCCCTGGAGGGGCTTAGTAACCCCCCGCAGCACCAGCAGCGACACCAGCCACACCCCCCCGGGCATGGGGCGCACCCCCCCGCTGCTGCTGAAACATGGCCTGCAGCTGTGCCTGCCGCTCAAACCACCACTAAGGTCACACCTATACCTTACCGAGACCAGGTATCTTAAAAGGGAGGTGTTATCTCAAAGGGAGGTCGTACCTGGACAGGCATCATCCCTGGCTGTGCATAAAACCCGCCCTGCTGCGCCACCACCCCTGGGGGGGCATAATACCCTCCTGCAGCAGCTGCCGGGGCCCGGGCATGGGGCGCACCCCCCCGCTGCTGCTGAAACATCGCCTGCAGCTGCGCCTGCCGTTCTGCCTTTGGCTGTGCGACGGCCACGTAGAGCGGCTTTCCCTTCACCATCTTGCTGTTCAGTGCTGTGAGCTGGGAGGAGAGATGACACGACAAGGGCAAGGGAAGGGAGAGAGAGAACAAGTGTGCGAAAAAGAACCATGCTGCTGCTGAAACATGGCCTGCAGCTGCGCCTGCCTCTCTGTCTTGGGCAGTGCCACGGCCACATAAAGTGGCTTTCCTTGACCATCTTGCTGTTCAATGCTGCGAGCTGTGGGGATGGGAAGAACGGCCAAAGAGGGTGGAGGGAAAGGGGGAGGTGAAAATGAAAGGTGACGAAGGTAACGTGCAGAAGGAACATCATTTATGGAAGTTATTAAGCCCATGCATTGCACAGCCCTCAAAGCCTCAGCTTTGCACATAGCGAGTACAAAGTGTAGTGGCATCCAATTCTTACAGCTCATAGTGAGTACAAAGTGTAGTGTACACCCTCATCAGAGCTTATAACGAGGACAAAGAGTACGACACACTCACCGCCTTTGCAGCATCCGCCTCGTTTGCAAAGAGCACAAAGCCAGCACCCTTGCTGCCACCTGTCTCGTGCTTGAGAATCTGGTGGAAGGAAAAGGCAACAAGGTGGAGGGAAGAGGGGAGAGAGGGGAGGGGTTGTGCTCTTTTGGTGGTATGGATGGGTGGAGAAGGGAGCAAGACCGGCGACCTTGCTGGGCGAAGGGCAAAGAGCACGAAGCCAGCAAAGCCCTTGCCCTTCGCCCACCAAGGTCGCCCTTCGCACCCTTGCTGGCCTGGCCTGGCCCCCGTCTCCTGCTTGAGGATCTGGTCGCTCAATGAAAGGGAGGGACAGTGCAGGTGAAGGGGGGATTGTTGAGTTTACTTTTGAGAATTTCCAAAAGTAAACCCTTGCTGGCCTGGCCCCCGTCTCCTGCTTGAGGATCTGGTCGCTCAATGGAAGGGAGGGACAGTGCAGGTGAAGGGGGGATTGAGCAAGAGCTGCAAAACACACACCTTACAGCTGGTGACGGTGCCATACTCTTGGAACATCTTCATCAGCTCGCCCTCATCCACACTCTCCTCCAGATGCTTGAAATACCCTGCCGTGTCATGTGCACCTTGTATGTATTACAACCCACCTTCATGCTTCTAACCCACCTTCATGCTTCTAACCCACCTTCATGCTTCTAACCCACCTTACAGCTGGTGACGGTGCCATACTCTTGGAACATCTTCATCAACTCCCCCTCATCCACACTCTCCTCCAGATTCTTGAAGTACAAATTCCTCTGAGAATACCTCTCAGTCTGCTGCCGCCTCTCCTCCTCGTATCGCCGCTTCAGTTCTGCCTCTCTCTCTGCTTTCTTCTGAGCCCGAGCAACGTACCACACCCGCCCCGCTCCTCCCCCTCCCTTCTTTCCTCCCTTCTTTCCTCCCTCTTTCGTTTCTCCCTCTTTCGTTTCTCCCTCTTTCGTTTCCCCCTCTTTCGCTTCCCCCTCTTTCGCTTCCCCCTCTTTCGCTTCTCCCTCCTTCGTTTCTTCCTCTTTCTTTTCCCCATCATTCGTTTCTCCCTCCTCTGTCTCCTCCCCGCCCTTCTCCCCTTCCTTCCCTTCCTTCGCCCCCTCCTTGCCTGCTTCCTCCCCCTCCCCTCCCTTCCCCTCCCCCTCCCCACCCCCCACCACCACCCCTTTCACAACCCGCCTCCCATTTACCCCCTCCACAGCCTTCGCAGCATCCTCCGCTTTTTCAAAATTCACAAACCCAAAACCCTTGCTGCGCCCATCAGCCTCGCGCATCACAACAGCGCTTTTGATCGCCCCAAACGCGGCAAAAACCTTCAGAAGCTCCTCATCGGTAGTCTCCTCTCCTAAACCCTTCACGTAGAGGTTGGTATAGTGAGGCTGCTGCTGCTGGTTGCCTGCTCTGCCTCCTCCCCCTCCCCCTCCCCCTCCTCCCATGCCGTCACTGTCGTTTGAACTGCGGTCCTGCTTGCGCACGAAGGGACCCACAAACACCTGGAGGAGGAGAGGGGGCATGGAGGGAGGGAAGGAGGGAGGGAGGAAGGGGGGAGTGGGGAAGTGCAGGTGTGGGGAGGGAGGGGAGGAAGGGGGGAGTGGGGAAGTGCAGGTGTGGGGAGGGAGGCGAGGAAAGGCCAAAGCATTGCCTTGCGCACAAAGAGACCTACAAACACCTGGAGGAGGGGGGGTTGGAAGGGGGCAAGTGGGGAAGCGCTATGGTGGGAAGAAACGGGAGGGAAGAGCAAACAAATATCACGAAAGCATTTGTCCCGTTTAAAAGCTCACTACACCCGCTATAAGCTCACTTAACTCGCTACAAGCTCACTTTACTCGCTACAAGCTAAATGTCCCCGCTATAAGCCCAACTGCTTTTCCCTAATGAGCATGCCATTGACTTTTTCGATAGCCGCCTTTGCCACCTCCTCTTTCTCAAACAACACAAACGCAAACCCCTTTGACGTCCCCCTCCTCTCTGTACCCGCTATAAGCTCACTGTACTCGCTATAAGCCCACCTGCTTCCCGGCAATGAGCATGCAGTTCACCTTGTCAATCGCTGCCTTTGCCACCTCCTCCTTATCAAACTGCACAAACGCGAACCCCTTGGCTTGGATGCCCCCCTCCCTCTCTGTACCTGTTATAAGTTCACTGTACTGTACTCGTTATGAGCTCACCTGCTTTCCGGCAATAAGCATGCCATTGACTTTCTCGATAGCCGCCTTTGCCACCTCCTCCTTCTCAAACTGCACAAACGCAAACCCCTTAGAGGCTCCGCTGTCGTCCATAGCAACGCGGCAGGAGAGGATCGAGCCGAACGCTGCAAAGGTGTCGTAGAGCGCCTTGTTGTCAATGCTCTTGTCGAGATTCTGTGGGGTTTGGATGGAAGAAAGGGGGGGATAAGAGGTTGGAAAAGGGAGTGCAGTGCTGAGGGCAGGGGAGAATCGAGCCGAATGCTGCAAAGGTGTCGTACAAAGCCTTGTTGTCAATGCTCTTGTCAAGATTCTGTGGGGCTTGGATGGAAGAAAGGGGGGGATAAGAGGTTGGAAAAGGGAGTGCAGTGCTGAGGGCAGGGGAGAATCGAGCCGAATGCTGCTAAGGTGTCGTACAAAGCCTTGTTGTCAATGCTCTTGTCAAGATTCTGAAGGGTAGGATGGAAGGGGTTGAGGAGAGCAGGGAAACACGCTAAGTCACCAAACGGAAGGAGAGGATCGAGCCGAACGCTGCAAAGGTGTCGTACAGGGCCTTGTTGTCAATGCTCTCGTCAAGATTCTGAAGGGTTTGAATTGGAGGGGGTGATGGGAGCACGGAAACACACTAAGTCACCAAACGCAACGAGACGAACGCTGCAAAGGTGTCGTACAGAGCCTTGTTGTCAATGCTCTTGTCGAGATTCTGAAGGGTTTGGGTGGATGGAAAGGGGAGAGATGAGCACAGAAAGACACGCACACACGCTGAACGCTGCAAAGGTGTTGTACAGGGCCTTGTTGTCAATGCTCTTGTAGAGATTCTGAGGGGTTTGGATGGAATAAGAGGGGATCCCAAGGGGTGGGAAAGGGAGTGATGAAAGCAGGGAAGGAGACGGTCTGAAGAGTAAGTCACCGCACAAACGCAAACCCTTGGATGACCCACTGTCGTCTGTAGCGACGACGCGGCAGGAGAGAATCGACGCATCTAAACTTTCAAGACAAAAACCACACATAAAACCTTTATTCGACTCGAATAGTTTAACATAAAATGAATCTCTCGCCTTGATAAAGATGTTGGCAGTGCCGCTCCGTCCGTCTAATTGAGGGATCCCCCAACCCAACAGCCACACCATTTGAGTCAACTCAGAGCCTGCAATCATACTTCTGAGTCAACTCAAAACCCACCTTGATAAAAATATTGCCAGTGCCGCTGCGTCTGATGGATGGGTCCCGGTGCGAGAACATGATGCGCATAGGCCGCCCAGCCACGTTTGTGAAGTTCAGTAGGTCAAGGGCTCGCGCAGCTGCATTTGAAGGGGTTAAAGGGGATATGAAAGGGTGGGGGGGACGTCAGAGGGGTGGGGGGGATTTCAGAGGGATGGAGGGCCGTAAAAAAACTGTCTGATGGAGGGGTCCCAGTGTGAGAACATGACGCGCATGGGACAACCAGCCACCCTTGTGAGGTTCAACAGGTCCAGAGCTCGGGCAGCTGCATTTCAAGGGGTGGGGGGGAATATCAAAGCGGTGGCAGGGGTGTCAGAGGGGTGGGGGGCGGTATCAAGGGTGCATGATGCACGGGTTGTGGTGGGAGTGGGAGAGCATGATGCGCATGGGACGAGCTGATGCGAATATTTGAGAGCATGATACCCATGCGCATGGGACGAATACCCATGTCCATGTGGGCAACATTTGAGAAATTGGGCAAATCGAGAGGTGTTGAGAATTCTCAAAAGCGATCGAGAGCTTGTGCAGCTGAGGTGACTTTTGAGTCGACTCAAAAGTCAAATCGAGAGGTGTTGAGAGTTCTCAAAAGCGATCGAGAGCTTGTGCAGCTGAGGTGACTTTTGAGTCGACTCAAAAGTCAAATCGAGAGGTGTTGAGAATTCTCAAAAGCGATCGAGAGCTTGTGCAGCTGAGGTGACTTTTGAGTCGACTCAAAAGTCAAATCGAGAGGTGTTGAGAACTCTCAAAAGCGATCGAGAGCTTGTGCAGCTGAGGTGACTTTTGAGTCGACTCAAAAGTCAAATCGAGAGGTGTTGAGAATTCTCAAAAGCGATCGAGAGCTTGTGCAGCTGCAAACCATAATGGGGTGTTGGGTGGGGATTGATTTCACTCTCACCATCCTGGCTGCTGCTGAAGTTGACATACGAGTATCCCAGCGACTGCCGAGTGAGTGTGTGTGTGCACGTATACTTGTAAGCATGTGGTGGTAACACAGTAACACTCACCATCCTGGCTGCTGCTGAAGTTGACATACGAGTATCCCAGCGACTGCCGCGTGACCATGTCGCGACACACGCGGATGGACGCCACAGGGCCCACCTGGAGAAGCAGGGGGGGGAAGAGGGAGAGGGAGAGGGGTGGGGAAGGAGGACACAGATGTACTAGATCCCAAATGTTTGAAGAAGTGTTTTGAGACGTCTCAAAACACTTGTTCAAACACGGGGGAGGACACAGATGTACTAGGTTCCAAATGTTTGAAGAAGTGTTTTGAGACGTCTCAAAACACTTCTTCAAACACGGGGGAAGAGGACGCAGATGTACTAGGTCCCAAATGTAGTGGGTGGGGCGGGGTGACACAGTCAGAGACTGCCGCGTGACCATGTTGTTTGAGGTTGATTTTCAGAATTCTCAAAATCAACCTCAAACAAAAGGGAGGAGGACACAGATGTACTAGGTTCCAAATGTAGTGGGTGGGGTGGGGTGACACAGTCAGAGACTGCTGCGTGACGTGAGGTGTATTTTGAGGCGCCTCAAAATACGCCTCAAAATACGCCTCAGAATACGCCTCAAAATACGCCTCAAAATACGCCTCAAAATACGCCTCACTACATGGGGTGACACAGTCAGAGACTGCCGCATGACCATGTTGCGGCACACGCGGATGGACGCTACAGGGACCACTGACAAGGCAGGGAGACGGCGGGGGAAAGGGGGGGTAAGAGGGGGAAGTGGGGGAGGGAGAAACAGATGTGCTTGCAGCCATGGGGACTGGCTGGCGAGTGACCAGCTTTCCCACTCACTACATGCTTCTTGGTGAATATCGCTTCTTACTACCTGCGAGACGAGACGAGGTCCAGGAGTTGCGCCTCTGTGACACGCGCATCGAGATGAGAGATTGGGGAGGGTCGAGTGGGAGGTGGGGAGGGACGAGCGAGTGGGAGGTGGGGAAGGGGAGGTTGGGAGGGGGACTCTCATTCCCGTTACCTCTGTGACGCTCGCATCGAGGTCAGAGATTTGGGAGGGACAAGGATGCGAGGGAGCGGGGAAAGGGAAGGGGAGGATGGTGGAAACGGGAGGAGGAGGAGGAGGAGAGGGAAAGGGGGGGTGGGGTGACGGGAGGGGAGGGGAGGGGAAGGGAAGGAAGAGGAGGGGAGGGAAGGGCATGGGAGAAACGGCGGGTGTTCAGGGATTGGATCAGACTTCCCCTACCTGCGAGAAGAGGTCGAAGAGCTGAGCCTCTGTAACGCTAACATCCAGATCGCCCACGTAGAGCGACGACGACGCGAAGGACGGCGCGGCGGGATTCGCGGACGACGGCGACTGCGCCACCCCTGATTCGTCCACGTCAGCGCCCTCCGCGCCGCTCGCGCTGATCGGAAGCGGCTGCTCCTGCTGCGACATGGTTCTGGGGTGGGGGGAGGGAAGGATGGGAGGAGGAGGAGGGGGGGGAAGGGGAGAAAGGGGGGGTGGGGAGAAGAGGGAGGGGGGGGGAGGAGGGGGACGGGGTTGAAAAGAGACGCATAAGGGGAGTTCAGCGCTATTTGCGCCGCTAGCACTGCTCGGAAGCTGCTGCTCCTGTTGCGACATGGCCCTGGATCGAGAAGGGAAAGGGAGGGGGGGAGGGGGGGAAGTGGAGGGGAACGGGGGAGGGAAAGGTGGCAGAACGGGGAAAAAGAGAGGTTATCTTTACGCGATTCTCGATTCATCAAAATATAGCGCCTGCTCCTGCTGCGACATCCCAACCGTTGAGATGCGACTCGTAATAACGACGACACGGGCCAGATATTCCAACCCTTCCTCTCATTCCTTACTTTGTATCTTGAAAAAGGTAGCGCGGGAATGGAGGAGGGGTTGGAAGGTAACCGAGATGTAGCTGGAAACCCGCTGGTGTTATTCGCGTAGGCCAAAAAGCCTCCAGGAAACGAGGAGGCGACAACTCATTACAGCGAGGAACCTAAATCAGTACACTAGCGAGTCGGGAAACCCCATATGTACCCACACAAACTGACAAATAAACGATCTATCGGCGATCGATCGGATCAGCAACGACGAATGGATCCGCTTCGACCGAAGAGACCGAAGGGACCCACGGGATTATAAGAGACGAGGTATTCTGACCGATGCGACCAAGTACAGAGAGCGAAGAGTGCATGGTGTCCTGAACAGGGCTACAGAAAGCACAAGCTAGACCCGTATAGATCCGAAGAGACACAACACTGCCTGTTCGTCGTGTCTAAGTGCAGACGTCACGTGTAGAAAGTGTAGTTTTGAGACGTCTCATAAGGGCTACAGAAAGCACAAGCTAGACCCGTATAGATCCGAAGAGACACAACACTGCCTGTCTGTCGTGTCAGAGTGCAGACGTGCATCTGTTAAATCAGACAGATGCAGGCGAGGGGATCAAACAGACGAGGGGATCTGTAGAGAAAAAGCTGAATCACGGATCATGAATTTGTACTATACCAGTTATGAATCATGAATGACAAATCAGCAATCGCGAATCACGAATCAGCAATGTTCTGTAATACCGGTGCACAGTCAAACGCCAAAACTGCAACGCCTAAAAGATCAGAGAATAGGAGAGACTTGAGGTAGAGCGACAAAAACCGCGGTGTACAAGCCTAAAGCCTCACACGGTGCAAAGCGGTGGTAAATGGCGGAGGGAGACGCGATCGGACGGCAATGCAGGAGAAGGGTCGATCCGCAGGCGCCTAAACGCCGATCCGAGACCTAAATATGTTCCAGCCGCAAAAAATGTACTTAATCCTGCACTGTCACGTGCAGTGATGCACCAACTAGGACCAAATAGTAGCCAGGTCTAGGAACCGACACTCTACTTCCCACTGAAAAAACTGTGGGAAAAAGTGTTGACTGGGGGAGGAGGGAAAGAATTTGAGAAAGGCCTTCCTCAACGTACGCGTTAGGAGCGTGCTGCAATAGCCGCTACTGCTGGTAAGTGTTCTGTTTCCTAGGAGAGGGTGCTGCTGCTACATCTACCGTGCAATGCTTGATTCCCGCTTCCAGAAACGAGGTGCCGAGCTGAGACAGACAAATTTTAAACCGCTTCACTGTGCAACTCGTTCTCAGTTTCGCTAGCTTGCCAAGGCACACTTCTGAAATGATCATTTTCACAGCTTTTAGGATTATGAGAGAAGTTTAGGCCATTAGTAGGTATCCTTATAATATAAACCCCTGATTTTTGGGTTGCGTAGCAACCCTTTACATTTGGTTTCACATTTTAGGGATATCATTCGAAGAGTGTTATTTACGCACTTTTTGGAGCACTCGTTTGAATGTTTTGAAACTGTGTTCAAACAGATGCCTCAAACAGTGGATAAAAAACACTCTTGAATGAGATCCCCAAAACACGTAAGCACGTACGTATCATGTTGAAACCATGAACTTGCTCGACCGTCACAACCTCGTCGATAAATACGGCGGATCGTACGGCCGAGCATAATATTCTGGCATCAACATGAACGAATGCAATTGTACAAATGAACAAGGTATAAGGTGGAGTGAATGCTTCAAAATGAATGTTAAAATGCATCATGCAGCAACAGAGGTTGATGGGGTCGTTGAAACAACGAAAACACGATGCCCCAAAGACGATTAACAACCTCTAATTGCATGCATAGCACATGTTAACACCACACTTTGAAACACACATCCCACAAACACGAATACAAACGCACGTAAAACCCCACAGTGAAACAAACACAATGACAAGACATGAACACACACCCGCACAAACACACCCGCAACGCGCACAGATACATACACAAATAGGATTGAGAGCAGACAAGCATAACAAAGAGTTGCAAAAAGTTAATTATGTATCAATCACTGCTACCTTGTCCCCCCCTTACTCCCCCTTTCTGCCTTCCTTCCTCTTCCTCAACCATCGAAATCTCCTCCCACCCTTTTCCACATTGTTTTCTCTCTCGATCCCTCCCTGCTCCCCACAACGTGTCTCGCACACCTTGCAAAACAAACAGGTCAAGAAGAAAAAGAATTGTAGTCGGAAAACGGAGTGAACTATTCAATGACGAACACGCACTTGATTGTACAAAAGAAAACCGAATTCGACGACTCACAAGCGTGGTTTGAAGCATAGATCCCCTGGGGTCACGCACACCACGCTGGTGAGCAGCAAGGCTCCAGCGAGCAAGGTTCCTTGGTGCAACGAGCTGGGCATCACCATGCTACAAGGTGCCAGAGACTTGCAGCAAGGCACTGGCAGAGGAGCAAGCGGGCTGCCGTAACAAGGCGTGAGCTCACTGCAGCAAGGCGTGAGCTCACTGCAGCAAGGCGTGAGCTCACTGCAGCAACCCGTGAGCTCACTGCAGCAACGCGTGAGCGTGTGCACAAATTTACCAGCGCGTAATTTACCAGAGCGCTGCCGCAACAACGCTGCCGCATGAATTTGCCAGCGCCGCAAACAAGGCAGCAGCGGACAAGCCGCCAGCATGCTACAAGGTGCCAGCGCGCTGCGAGGGCACCTGCAAGGCGCCAAACGTAAGGCGCCAGCGCGTAGGGCGCCAGCGCATAGGGCGCCAGCGCGTTATGCGCTAGGGCAGCAAGCGCCAGCGCACTAGGTGCTAGCGCGTTAGGCGCCAGCGCTCTAGGCGCCTGCGCATTAGGCGCCAGCGCGCTAGGCGCCAGCGCGTTTGGCGCCAGCGCGTTAGACGCCAGCGCTCTAGGCGCCTGCGCATTAGGCGCCAGCGCGCTAGGAACCAGCGCGCTATGCGCCAACACGCTAGGCGGCAGCGCGCTAGGCACGCTCTAGGCGCCTACGCGTTAGGCGCCAGCGCGTTAGGCGCCAGGGCGCTAGGCGCCAGCGCGTTTGGCGCCAGCCCGTTAGGCGCCAGCGCGCTATGCGCCTGCGTGCTTGCTCCCGTGCGCACACTCTCCCTCATACTCCCTCACACTCCCTCTCTCCCCTTCTTAAAATGGAGGCACAATGCTAAGAGGAGACCAATCGGCACTGAGAACTTACGAGGAAAGTGGAAAAAAGATGACATTTCGGAGAGAGTAGCAAACGCACCTTAGACAACCGAGCCTAAGAAAACAACGCATGGTCGTGCAGCAATCCACCAAAGGCGACGGCGGGAAGGGGGGGAGAGGCGACGACGAGGAAGAAGGGAGAGCGACGGCGGGGAGTTAGGGAGAGGCGACGGTGGGGGTGTCAAAGTTAGCAGGCAGAAACAGAATTGAAGAAAGGAGGGGTTTCATTAGCAGCAGTTGGGATACATATAGCAAACCCTAATTGGGTTGTACGCGCTATAGAGCACCCCACTACAGGCTAGATAATAACATTCTCACACACCCCCATAGCCAAAGTGGGGTGTAATCTGCAGAATGAGCAGGCATAGCAGGAGTTCACAATAATAAGCAAAGCTAGAGGTAATCACAGCGGGCAAGTGAGGAGGAGGAGGAACTGTGGAAGAAAAGAAGATGGGAGGCAACGACTGAAGCTGCAGAGGCACGGCCAAGGAGCGGCTGGCTCAGTGGCTACCGAAGCAAGGGCGACGGACTACTGGAGTGACTGGCTCCACGGCAAAGACGAGCGGCAGGAGCAACGGACCCACTGGCGACTGGTGCAACAGGCTCACTGGCTACCGAAGCAAGGGCGACGGACTACAGGCGCTGCAGGCGACACGACAGCTACCTCCACACAACCTCCTCCAACTGACCCACACCCTTGATACACACCCCCTGTTGAACCCCTAACTCCACTCCTATGTCACCCCCCTAGCCCCATTCCCTTCGGCTCCCACACCTCCACCCCCCTCAGCAAAAGCTGCAGCAGTGGGAGATGAATAAGGAGGCGGGGAGAGGGAAGGGGAGTACCCACACCGCGCACCCCCATGCTCGCCACCCCACACCTCCCACCACCGCGGAACACACGGCAACAAGGGGGGGGGGGGGGGGGGGGGGGGGCGGTACAGGAGGGGCCGCGCGTCTCTCCTCAGGGCGCCAAAACGGACGCGCAAGGGGGCGCGCGCGGCTCCCCAGGGCGCCGCGACAAGAAGAAGGCGTCGCACGCCACGGGGGGTGCAACGGAGTAGCAGCGGAAGCAGTTAGGTGGTGGGCCAACCCACAGGATCGACCCAAGGGGGTCGACCTGCTCTGAAACCATGTCAAAGTTAGCAGGCAGAAACATAATTGAAGAAAGGAGGGGTTTCACTAGCAGCAATTGGGATACATATAGCAAACCCTAACTAGGTTGTACCCGCTATAGAGCACCCCACTACAGGCTAGATAATAACATTCTGACAGGGGGGTGAGGTGAGGCGACGGGCGGGAGTGAGGGAGAGGTGACGGCAAGGTGGTTCTTAAAAAACGAGTGGGAAGGTATTTGGGGTGGGAAGAATAAGGGGAGATCAAAGTCGAGCAGGTGATGTAATACAGGAAACGGGACTCCCAAGGGAGTGGAGAAACGTTTGGTTGAGTTTGTGTAGCGCTGGCAAGAAATTTTTTAAGAAAACTGAAACGAGAATGAATGGACTAAGTGAAAGTTGGGTACAAATACAAACCCTAGAAAGCTGTACCCCATATGTGCTACCCCACTATAGCCTACAATAGCTATGTCATATAAATCTGACACACCCCCATATGCAAAGTGGGGGAGTACAAGGGGTCACAAGACCAGTCAAGGAAAGCAAAGCAAAGCAAGCTCAGGGTGGATCACAAACTCACCACA